CCCAGGGGAGGATTATGGTCGGATCCCTAACCTTTATATAGCCAAGATCTTAAGTGGGCTGAAAATCACAGGTCGACACAAGTCCAACCAGAAACTAAAAGCAAAAACCGAGAAAAATAAAAAAACAAACAAGCCAAAAGGAAAAAACGAAAAGTTTGTACCTGGGCTGACAGGTGCCCAGACAAACTGTCTGCTCCATAAAGTGGGTCGAAACACAAAAATGCAGTACGGCTACTAGAATCTAAACGAGGTGTAGTCAACCTGATCCATCCGCACAAGAGTACGAAGACGGAGAGGGGCATCATCCAGAAGGAACTTGCACCTCTGCGGGGTTGAGACACCTAGATTGGCCAGGTAGCGGGTCGGTTCCCCTCGCGGAAGATGTGCGAGATTCGGTAGCGAACCAACTGAAGTGTGAATCTGATGCGCATGAGCGGGTGCTGAATCTGCCACGGGACCTAGTGGCCAGAGTTCAAGAGGATGGCGACAACAGCAGCATCCAGCTCAATCCAAATGTGAATAAAGATAGAGGTTGCAGTCTGAATACCGATCTGAAGCGTCTGAACCTCCGCGTTCTAGCTCGAGGAGGCCTAAAGAGGGGCGTGGAAGGCGGCAATGAGAACTCCGCTATGATTCTTAATCAGGCCCCCGCCTCCGGCAGCTCTGGTAAGTCGGTCGAAAAATCCGTAAATGTTTAGGTTAACTCAAGGAGAGTCGGATCTCAGCCAAACAATTGCTCTGAGACGTGGGTGTTGGACAGACGACAGTGGAGATGTACAAAGCGGTGGGGGCGGCGTGTACAAAGCAGTGGGGGCGGCGTGTAGCCTGTCCAATCTCTAGATGTGAGTCTGCCCAGAGATGTAAGGAGTGTGAGATGTCGATCAACCTGCAAAACAATGTGAGAGCACATAAAAGTAATATCACTCAGATGAACCACATGATCAGACAAGGAATGAGGAAGCCCACGTGTCTAAAGTATGTGAGCTGTGAGTAAAAACTAAAGAGCACAAAAAAACTGTATGTAGTGGACAGAGGAACACGAGTATAAGTGGCAAAATGCTCCCATACTCTCCTCGCAACCTCTGACAAAATGGGAGTTGACGGGTGCGGTCCCACGGACGTGAAGCGCACCAAAGCAGAGAAGCCCAAATGAAGCCCAAGTGGGGTTCCATCCTACAACGAAGTGGTAGTAGGAGGAATAACCCACTAGACTTATAAGTTAGGTCTATTTTTCCTGTATAGATGATGTGGGACAACTCACAAGTGTATAATCTAACAACTTCGCTCTCTAAAAACAAATGGAAAAAGTCTCAGTTTGGAAATCGCCGGTCTTGGCACAGCAGTAACACCGCGAAGGGAAAGAAACCCCCCTCGTCTGCAACACAGAGTCGATCGGAATTCGGCGCAGAAGAAGGTGCCAAAGGACGATAGATATGGTCCAGTAAGCATGTAATTCTCCATTTCATACCGTTCGAACTAAATCTATTACTATATAATACAGTTAAGAAAAAACTATTCAAACAATTTGAAAAAAAAAAAGATTTCGTTTTCCCGCTTCATAATACTAATTTTCTCGCTTCTTTATTTCGTAAAATTTTTTTGAATTTTTTAACATGTCCCGCATTTTCAATTTGGTAATCAATCAATCACAATTGTATGGTAGATCCCATGAAACCCACCAATATATTATTTGAAATAATCGGATATTTTTGTTAATATGATCAAATTTTGCAAGATCCTATTCACTCCGCCCAAGCAACAATATGAATGATTTTTATTATTTGTTAATTGTTTAACACATTTCTATTCTAATCCTAAATCCTAATGGGCGGATTGATATTAGAAGTTGTAGAATAATAAAAATCACATCCATATATTTAATTAGACATACGTCATTCTAAGCACATGTTAAATACAGTCTTCTAAAAATAGAGTCCTCATTTACATAAATTGCGGTTGAATCTTTAACATTATTACTTTCCAAATAGAGTCCTCATATTCCATACCTGCAAGAAAGTCAATTACCTACTTTAGTGGATGTGATTATTCGAACAATACAAAAATATATATAAGATATAAATCAGTTCATATCTTTAATGATATGTATAGACAATCATTTTTTTCTCAAATTTGGAATAAAATCAGTTCTAATTTACACCAACGATTTTAAAAATTAGATTGATTAATATATTGAAACAAAATCAGTTCAAATTTACACCAACGATTTTAAAAAATTAGATTGATTAATATATTGAAACACGATAAATCGATTAATGTTTACAGATTTATTTAATATGCCAATTGATAAGAACCCTATTTATTTTAAATTCCTTATAAGAAATAATTATATATTTCATCGTTGGTTTGGTAAACAAATTGTTACGTGATTATACCCTGATTAAATTAAAATCAATCGGATATTACTAATTGAAATATGAATGAAATCGTATCTTGGGGAAATGGACTTTCGGGAATAAATGAAATCGGATTTTCAGGATTTGGTTTATGTCTAATTGTACGTAAATAGTTTTGTTAATTGAAATATCAAGGAAATCGAATTTTTGGGATTCGGATTTTCGGGAAGATTAGTTTTAACACAATTCTAATGTGATCCTAATGGGCAATTGATATCATACAAGAATCCTTTAAGGAAACAAAATATGTACACAAACGATTTCATATCATACGCAACTTTCGAATATTTTTTTGCACACGCAACACACACAAATATACCTATTGTAAGTAAATTATTCTACACATCTAAAACATACAACACACGAACAATAATATTTCTCTTTTATCTTTCCCCTACTATTCAAGATGGCTCAGGTTTTTGATACTATTAAAGATCTCAAAAAAAACTAATAGACCTTTCATTAAGCTACACGTCATTAGGATGTTCCAACGAGAGGATGATCGTGGTTATAAAAATCCGCTTGAGTTTATCATGCATGATTCTGAGGTACTATGTCAACACTTATTTATTAACTTTATTATTTTCTAGATTGTAATTTTACACTCCTATTTGAAATAATTGTTTGTTGTATGTAATTTGTTAGGGAGGACGTATCAATACTTTGGTCCGACCCATGCATATTTCTAATTTCATCAATGAAGTGAAAGAAGGGGTCGTTTATGTCTTAAAAAATTACCAAGTGGAAAGCAACAGTGGCATTTACCAAACGACAATATGCACTTGGAGATTTGTGATCAATAAGAATACTAAATTTATCAAGTGACCTTATTCTTTCCCTACATTTCGTTTTGTCCTTAGAGATTTTGCAACTTTAATGGACATCGACAATGTTGATGAAACTATGTTGTTTGGTAACAAATTATTATTTATATTTATTTCGAATTTTAATTTTTTTTAATTTACTATGTTTTTTCGTGTACTTAATTTAGCTATTATGAAATTCAATTAACCTACATTAGTTTATTAACATTATTATATCGTTTTTTTTATATGTTATGGGGTGGTTGTTGAAATAAAACCAATTCAAATGAAGACTGTGACAGGAGTGCCTACTCAAATGATTGTTTTCTCCCTTATGAACTTGGAGTAAGTACATCTAAAATTATATATTCATGTTGTTTATATATAATTGTATAAAATGATAACTCATTCGGATGCAAGAGTACCTTTTAAGTTTCAACGAAGGCAGTTCACTATCGTGGTTTCTTATGCAATGACTATTAACAAGAGTCAGAGTCAATCCTTATCCCATGTTCGTTTATTCTTGAAGAAATCAGTTTTCAGTCATGGCCAATTATATGTTGCTGTTTCGCGCGTCACCAACAGAAAGGGTTTGAAAATTCTAATATATGGTGAACATGATTTGCCCCCAAATCAAACAAATAATGTTGTATAAAGAGAAATTTTTAATAATATATGATTTTTTTATTTTTATTTTTTTCCATAATTAGATGTTAAATTTAATTAATTACACTTAAAATAAGTACTTCAATATGTTTTAAGTTATGCGCCCACCGTGCATTGCACGGGTACATACTAGTATTGGAATAATATTGAGTAGAGTTAACTTGAACTAAATTTGATTAAATTTCAAATAAAAAATTTATATCCAATGTAATTTCAAAAAAATAAAATAAAATATTAAAATAAATAAATTCTACATAATTCGCACCCTAAATCCAGTCGTGGGAGGGATAACGTTATATTTGTTTGTTCTCATATAAACGTAATCGACCTCAGGTCCTCTCTCTCTCCTACTTCCCTTTGAAGAAAACATTATCGCCGACAAGGAAGAGGCGGCTCAGCTCAACTCTCGGGCTTAGTCTTTCTCAAGGTGAGTTATTCCCTCAATCCAACTGCGCATTCCATTTTCGTTTCCGTATTCGAGTAAATTGAAGTTCCTCTTCTGCTTCTTTCGATTCCTTACTCCGTGGATGACCTAATTTCGATTCCCTTTTGTTCATTCTCCGAATATCTGTCTAATTCCGTTCACGGAGACACTATCATCTCGATTAGAACCTCGCTCATCCATTCTCTCTGTGATTTAGTTCTTTTCAGATCAATATTTCGCCCAAAAAGAGGAAAGGTGAAAAAGAAAGAAGATGGATGAGTATCAGGAGATGGAGAGGTTTGGCATGGATAACGACTACGAAGATGGACAGTGGATTGGCGGTGAATTCTATGGCCGCCGCAGGCAGAAGCGCACCCAGACCAAAGACGACGTTCTCTACGGCGTGTTTGCCTCAGGTGACAGTGATTCCGACTCTTACGAAGGTTTGGGGTCCAAAAAACGCCGCAAAGACTTATCCAAGAGTACCGACTACTCCAAGCCTGTCAGCTTCGTCTCCACTGGCTCAGTTATGCCCAGTCAGGAAATCGACCGAGATTCCAAAACAGATAAAGAAATACGAGACCAGGATCCAAAGGCTGCTGCTCATGAAGAAAATGCGGAAGAGGACGATTTTCTGCCTACCACCTTAATGGGTGACTTGGTCCGAGCTGGCGGCGAGAGGCGTGAGAAGGAAAAGGAGAAGTCGAAGCAAACCAAGAAGCCAGCTCAAGCTGGCAACAGGCGGGCCCCCGACCCAAACGGGGCCGGTTCGTTCGAGAAGCACACAAAGGGCATTGGGATGAAACTGCTCGAAAAAATGGGATATAAGGGAGGTGGGCTTGGGAAAAACGAGCAAGGAATCACGGCCCCCATCGAAGCCAAGATCCGGCCCAAGAACATGGGAATGGGTTTCAACGACTATAAGGAGGCGGCTCCGCCAGTACTGCAGGGATTGGATGATAAAGCAACTCCTGGGCCGACTGGCCTGTCCACGGAGGTTCGTTCGAAGGAAAAGCGTTGGTCGAAGCAGGCTTTGAAGAAGAACAAGAATAAGCAGGCTTTTCTAACGGCCGAGGAGCTGCTTGCTCGGAAGCAGGACCAAGCAACTGAGGTTGTGCAGAAGATTTTCGACATGCGAGGGCCACAGGTCCGGGTCCTGACGAATTTGGAGAACTTGAATGCTGAGGAGAAAGCTCGGGAGCAAGATGTTCCCATGCCCGAGCTACAACATAATATTCAGCTGATAGTTGATCTGGCAGAGCTCGACATACAGAAGCTGGATAGGGATTTGAGAAACGAGAGGGAGACAGTGTTTGCTCTGCAGAAAGAAAAGGAGAAGCTGCAAAATGAGGCAAGTCGCCAAAAGCAACAGCTTGAGAACATGGAGATCATTGTGAGCGTGCTCGACCATATAGGTGAACAGAGCTCCTCGGGGACGCTTACTTTAGAATCCCTTGCAAATTCGTTCATGGACATGCAGTTAAAATTTGCGGATGACTACACTCTATGCAACTTATCTAGCATTGCATGCTCGTATGCTCTCCCCTTATTTATTAGGATTTTCCAGGGATGGGACCCACTTCAGAACCCGACTCACGGGGTCGAGGTTGTATCCACGTGGAAAAAATTGCTACAAGGGAAGGACTCCCTGAGTTTCTCCGGTGCAGCCTCACCGTACATGCAGCTGCTTATGGAAGTTGTTTTCCCTGCGGTGAGAATATCGGGGACGAATTCTTGGCATGCACGGGACCCAGAGCCCATGCTCAGGTTTCTAGAGTCTTGGGATGAACTTCTGCCACCAGTTGTCTTGCAGACCATATTAGACACTGTGATTATGCCCAAATTATCGGCCGCTGTCGACCTGTGGGATCCACGCAGGGAGACCATCCCAATCCACTCGTGGATCCACCCATGGCTGCCATTGTTGGGCCCGAAGCTAGAATCCTGCTACCACACAATACGCCACAGGCTTGCAAGCGTCCTTCATGCCTGGCACCCAAGTGACATGTCTGCCTACTACATACTCTCCCCATGGAAGACTGTGTTCGACCCCGCCAACTGGGAGCAGCTAATGGTTCGGTACATAATTCCAAAGCTGTTGATGGTCATGCACGAGCTATCTATAAATCCTGCGAACCAGAACCTTGATCAGTTCTACTGGGTGAGGACGTGGGTCACAGCCATACCCACGCACCACATGCTGCCTTTGATGGATATTTTCTTCAACAAGTGGCAGGAAGTCCTGTACCACTGGTTGTGTTCGAAGCCGGATTTCGAGGAGGTGACTAAATGGTACCTTGGATGGAAAGAGCTTCTACCTCCAGAGCTTCAGGCGAATGAGCACATTCGAGCCAGGCTTAACGTCGGCTTGGACATGATGAACCAAGCAGTTGAGGGCATGGAGGTGGTGCCGCCTGGCTTGAGGGAGAATATTGGTTATCTGAGGGCCCGTGAACAGAGGCAGTTCGAGACTCAGAAGAAGGCGGCTGCTCAAGCTCAGTCGGATGGAATTGGTGGAGGGCATGAGATGAGCTTGAAAGAAGTTATCGAGATACATGCGCAGCAGAATGGCCTGCTGTTCAAGCCTAAGCCGGGGAGAATGCAGGATGGACACCAGATATATGGGTTTGGTAATATAAGTATAATTGTGGACTCGCTCAATCAGAAGGTGTTTGCCCAGGTGGACGAGAGGTGGAGTCTTGTGTCGCTCGAGCAACTGCTGGATTTGCATAACCGCTCTAGATCGAGACGACATTGAGGTATGAACCTTTTGGATTCTTCTGGAGAACATGTATAAGGAATTTTAAATTTTTGCAGCTTGACTGATTGTGGCGATTAGTTTGATTGAGGATCCCATATGCATTGCTGTTATTGTATAATGTTAGTATTGTTGGTGTTGTTCTCTGTTGTTATTGAATGTGACAATTTTATGTCTCTTTTACTTCATATTAAGAATTTGCTGAATTTTTGCACATCCCTAGAGTTTTGTTGAGAGAAGCTCTGCTTCACTTCTGTTTATTGATTATTTGAAAGTTGAAACGCAGTAGCTATATTGCTACTTCATGAGTGAGTATTTTTTTTACCCTTCTTTTACAGTTTATGTGTTCTTTTGATCATGTCGAAATGTGCGTAAAACCCTTATTTGTCCATGTTCTTTTGAAGTTGATGGTTCATCAGGGTGTACTTAGGATCGACTATGTCTGATGCTACAAGGACATGGAAGTCCGATAAAAGGACACCTTCAGACTTAAGGAAAGACTGTTGGGTTTCCTGAGAGACTTCATTTGAGATCTGCTTTGGTTTTAATGAAAAAAAAAAATTCACCTGTCCTTGTGAAGAATGCACCCTGTTGGCTGTTCCATGAATTTTATTTTTTTTCATGAAATTTTTATGATATCGGAGAAAAAAGGGTTACTGGGTGCTTTCTTTGGGGATTGTGGCACTCAAAATTTTTAGTTGTCTGTAGCATTGAGTTTATAGCCAAGTGCTGTTTGTTAATCTCAGTTTCACCCATCATAGCCATAGGAAAAAGCATTTCATCAGCAAATTAATCTTATTTGAATTCGACTTTATGGCTATTAATGGTATATGTTGTCCTAGGCCTGGGATTACTGTCCTCTGTTTAAGGAGAAGCGCGGGTGACAGGGTTTAACCTGCTTCCGCATTTACTTAGAATTA